TTTGGCTTTGTCCATGCTGAATCTCTTCAGTATATTCTCAATATATTTCTCTTGACTCAGCCACAGTAGCTTCTTCTGTCTATCTCGGATGATCTTGATTCCGAGAATCTGCTTTGCAGGGCCGAGGTCCTTCATTGCGAAGGACGAGCTCAACGCTTTTTTCAGGGCAGCTATCCTCGATTTGTCTTTCCCTACAATAAGCATGTCGTCAACATATAACAACAAGATCAGAAAGTCTCCTGCCTCATACCTCTTCACAAATACGCAGTGGTCGACTTCAGTCTTCTCAAACTTATGATCAGTCATGAATGATTCAAACTTCTTGTACCACTGCCGAGGTGCTTGCTTCAAGCCATAGAGGCTCTTCTTCAACCGACATACCAAGTCTTCTTGGTCTGGAGCTTGGAATCCTTCAGTTTGCTCCACATATATTTCTTCTTCTAAGTCACCGTGAAGAAATGCTGTCTTCACGTCCATTTGTTCTACCTCGAGGTCCATCGAAGCCGCCATGGCTAACACGGTTCGGAACGAGGTCATTTTCACCACAGGAGAAAAAATCTCCTCAAAGTCTACTCCTTTCTTTTGATTGCAGCCTTTCACTACAATTCGGGATTTGTATCTCGGCTTTTGCCCGTTCTCTTCATTCTTAATCCTGTAGACCCATTTATTTTTCAAAGCTCGTCTTCCTTCTGGAAACTCAGTCAGCTCATAAGTCTGATTCTCGTGCAGAGACTTCTTCTCGTCTTGCATTGCCTTTTCCCTTTCTTCTTTCTCTGAGCTCGTCACAGCCTCATCATAACTCTGATCTTTCAGCAACAACGGTGTATTCATCAGATGAGTATCTTGTAGAGGGTCTTCTTTCTCGAGTTGGATATCTCGGCTGTTCTTCAGCTTGAGAACCCGGTTCATCATTCTCATCCCGGATCTCATCATCAACTCAGACCTCAGTGTCTTGGTCATCTTCAGCTTGTTGCTGATCATTATTTTCTTCATTTTATTGATTTTCTCCCCCTGCTTCAGCTCGGACATGAGGGATGAGTTCTTCTCGTCTGACAGTAACTCGGACATTGGGCTTTGAGATGTCATGAATGTTCTCATGCTCATGAAAGATCACATCTCGGCTTCTCACGATCTTCTTATTAATTGGATCCTAAAGTCGGAACCCGAACTCACATCTCGGTGAACCAAGATAAATGCATTTTTTAGTCTTTGCATCAAGTTTGGCCCTTTCATCTTTAGGGATATGCACGAAAGCTCGGCATCCAAACACTTTCAGTTGATTATAGGCCGCTTTCCGACCTATCCAGACTTCTTCTGGAATTTCTCCTTCAAGTGGCCGTGATGGTGAGAGGTTGATCAAGTCAACAGTTGTTTTGACGGCTTCTCCCCAAAATGATTTCGGCAATCCGGCATTGGATAACATGCTTCGGACCTTCTCTTCAATAGTTCGATTCATCCTCTCAGCCAGTCCATTCAACTGTGGAATCTTGGGGGGCGTCTTCTCAAGTCGGATCCCGACCTCTCTGCACTATGCATTAAATGGGCCGCAATACTCACCACCATTATCAGATCGGACCACCTTCAATTTCTTGCCAGTCTCCCTTTCAACCATAGCATGGAATTCTTTAAAGGATTGGAGTACCTGGTCTTTAGACTTCAACAAATATACCCACACTTTGCGGGAATGGTCATCAATAAATGAAACAAAGTACTGAGCTCCTCTAAGGGATCTTTCCGACATGGAGGAGACATCAGTATGGACGAGGTCAAGAATATATCTGCGTCGTCTTGGTTGATCCGATCTCGCAAAAGAAACCCGGTGCTGCTTTCCAGCTAGGCAATCTGTGCAACTCTCCAACGCTTGGTCTTTCAACCCGGTCAATAATCCTTTCTTGTTAGGATCTGGAGCCCTTTCTCGCTTATGTGGCTGAGGCGCTTGTGCCATAGCTCCAAGCTAGGTTCATCTCGGACAGAATTGGCTTCTCCGCCATTGATCTTTCCTTGCATCACGTACAAGGAGCCTTCCTTCTTACCTCGGGCCACGACCAAGTTTCCCTTGACCAGCTTCCATCTCACACTACCAAAGTACTTCACTAACCCGACATCGTCAAGCTTGCCTACCGAGATTAGGTTCAAACGCATGTCAGGAACATGCCTTACATCTTTCAACACAAGTCGGCATCCGACATCTGTGGTCAGAGTTACATCACCGACACCAACAATCTTGCTGGTCACTTGTTTTCCCATCTTCACGACTCAGAAATCACAACCTCGATAAGAGGAGAAAAAACCTTTGTGTGGAGTAACGTGGAAGGAGGCACCAGAGTCAACAATCCAGGTGCAGTCATCATATGCAACATTCAAATAATTATCCTCACCAAGGAGGAATATCTCGGCATCCGAGTTGGCAGCCACCGCAGTGGTGCTCTTGTCTTCCCTCTTTTTGGGGATAATCTGATCCGGCTTCACATAGCTGTTCTTCTCATCATTCTGCAGGGTCCAGCAGTCTGGCTTCTTGTGGCCTGTCTTTCCACAGTAAAAGCACTTCAACTCATATTTCGGGTTTGACCGACCTCTGGACTTGTCTCTTCTGTCACGACCTCTACCCCGGCTTTTGCTTCTACCCTGGGAGTCGGATTTCCCTTTGTTCTCAGCAACGTTGGCCTCAGACGTACTCGAAGTACCTCGTTCTCTTCTCCTGGATTCTTCGCCCAGGAGGCTGTCTGTCACGACATCCATCTTCAATTTTCCATCTTGAGTCGAGTTATTCAGGGTCACCACCAAAGTATCCCAGCTTTCTGGCAGCGAGCTCAACAACAGCAATGCCTGCAATTCTTCATCAATTTTCATATCAGCCTTTGATAACTGATTCACAATACCTTTGTAGGTGTTCAGATGTTCAATCATACTCATGCCGTCCTTGTATTCAAGCTTAACAAGTCGGCGAACCAGGTGTGCTTTGTTTCTGGGAGTCTTCTTCTGAATCATGGACTCCAGCTTCGTCCACAACTCATACGCGTTCGTGAATTCGGACACATGCTCAAAGAGGCTTTTATCAATATATTTCCTGATCGTGGCTACCGCCTTACGACTCAGGATCTCCCACTCTTTATCAGTTTTGCCTGCCGGTCTCTCATCAATGATAATGGGCTCATGTAGATCTTTGCAGTAGAGATGATCTTCCATCATCGGTCTCCAATATGTGAAATTGTCTGCGGTCAACTTGAACATGTCGCCATCATTGGTTATGCCACTGGTCTCCATCTCGTCTCCCTCAGAACCCGTCGAACCTGGCTCTGATGCCACTGTTGGGAAAAACTCGATTCCCTCAAGCTCGGCTAAGCAGCCTTTGTGCGGAAGTCAATCAACAAAATCCTGATCTCGGATCTCGGCAATACCTCGGCCTGAACTTCACCAGGTCAGGCAGCGCAGCGGAAAATCAAAACAAAAAATCACAAAACAGGAGAGAGAGAGAGAGAGAAGAAGAACACAACCAGATTTAACGTGGGAAAACCTTCTCCAATGAAGAAGTAAAAACCCACGGGACCTAGTCCAGATCAAAAATCCACTATGAAATAATGGTTACAAAGAATCAAATACACCAATGTGGTGGTTAACTCAACCTCTCCAACAATGGTGATAATCAAACTACCCTAGAGACGTTTCACTCAAACTCTCTCTAGAGATCTCTCAAATGCAAAGCATAAATCTTTACTCAAACAATCAAATCATTTTTTCTCTCAAATTTGTTCTCTCCAATCTGACCTAGCCTCCTCCCACAACTAATGAGTATATATATAGGAGGTGGAAATTAGGGTTAGGGTTTTTAGGAAACCCCTCAAATGGGCTTGGGCTTAGCATTGAAGGAGGAAGCCCAACAAAGATTTAGGGACGGTGAGGTGAAAACCATTTTTGTTGGGCTGGAAGAAAGATGAAAAACAAATAAGAATTTGAGATAAAAATTGGGTATCACAAAAATGTGGTTGAAATCCACTTTTATAAGCTCTTGGCCCATTTACTTAAATAATTGTCGGTGAAACATGGTCTAACCAAGACATATTGATATATAATTTTGAAAGGGGAAGAATATTGTAACAATCAATTAACGTTACTACCAATGTTACTATCAATCAATTTCACCGTTAGATTGATTATTTTCATATTTATATGGTTATGAACTTATGATTCGCTATATTTAATTTCACCTTTATATGTTTATAATTTTACATATTTAATGCTTTCACATTAAATACGAGGAATCATAATTATACAAAAAAATAAATATAACCGTTAGATCAACCTAATCGATCTAACGGTAAAATTGATTGGTAATAATATTGATAGTAACCTAATTTGTTATTATAATATCCTACCCCATTTTGATAAGGGGGTAGGATATTGTAACAACCAATTAGTGTTACTACCAATGTTACTACCAATCAATTTCACCATCAGATCGATTATGTGGATCCAACAATTATATTTATTTCCTTCTTTGTATGATTATGATTTCTCATATTTAATGTAGAATCATTAAATATGAGAAATCATAACCAAACAAAGGTGAAAATAAATATAAAGTATTAAATATGAGAAATCATAATCATACAAAGATAGAAATAAATATAACCGTTGGATCAACATAATCCATCTAACGGTGAAATTGATTGGTAGTAACATTGGTAGTAATACTAATTGTTTGTTACAATATCCTTCCCCTTTGATAAGAGGTTAAAATTATTAAATAATTTAAAAATAGAAAAAACGATAATATTTTTTTGAAATGAGGCAAAAGGTCGATGACACAAAAATAAAATGGGTTTGTATCTATCATGTCACATGACACAAATTTTTTTTTACACACACACAATATTTTGTGGAGTCCGCATTTTTTAAAGATAAAAAAGAAGAAGTTAAAACACGCAAAACAAAACTTTATAACATTACAAAATCACATCTCCTCTGCAACATAAGTGTTATAAAATCCAAAATATAAACAAAAGAAAGGAAGCTTGAGAAAATCAGGAAGGCTAGAGAGAGAGAGAGAAATCGGGTATGTCATCATCACAGGGTAATAACGATCCACGTATGCCATCAGCGGCGAAGCCGTACGTGGCTCCGCCGGTTTCCCCGCAAGACATGCCGATTGATTACGCCGGTTTCATCGCCGTCCTATTCGGCGTCGCCGGCGTCATGTTCAGGGTTTGTATTTGTAGCTCCTTTACGTTCTTCGTTCTTTGTTTTGATGGATCTTACAATCTTCGTTGCATTAACCTATTTTATTTTTTTTCGTTTTTTAATTTTTGTCTGAAATCAGTACAAGCTAAGCTCGTGGCTGGCTCTCATATTCTGTGCGCAATCCGTTGCGAACATGAGGAATGTGGAAAATGATCTCAAACAAGTTATGATGGCTATGATGTAAGTTTCTTCATTCTTATATTTCTCCAGCATTACACTTGCGTTTGCATTCTTCTCTATGAATTTCCTTTGCAGATCCACGCATCTATTTATGTGAGTCGTTATTTTAAAATGGAACCAAAAAAAAAAAATGTTGAAAATGGTTCTTACAATTGGGAGCTAGTGCATTTTCCAGAAGTGTCATGTAAGTTTATGAATTACAAACTTAGCACTTGAAAGAATACGAATTTTCTTTCTAAAATGGACCGAATCAGTAGGCTGGATCAGGAAAAATAAAAAAATGTCAGATTTGGAGGCTTACTTCTATAGCTTGATGAATTATAAGTTGAAATCAGGAATAAGGAACTTTCCCTTCTTATTCTTATTATATTTTTTAAGTTGAAAGTTTTTTATCCTATTCACATGCTTTCCAGAAATGTCTGGTATAATATCAAAATAAAGTTTCTACTCTGTCCACGTTCCAGTTTGAATTATCCTTGAGGACAAGAACCTGTGAAATAAAGATGAAACAATCTGAGGCTCAAGTCAATAATTGACTACCTCAAAGTAGAGTAGTTGAATGTGTAAAGAAGTAATTGCTCGATCATACCAAGGGGCTATATCTACAGGTTTGCGAAGCATAGTTTTCGTAGGTGCACTTTTACCTGGTCATCTCCTCTTGTAGATGAGTAATATCTTAATAGGATGAGGATTGATACTTGATTAGATTAACTTTCGATAGAAATTGGATCATGATAAGGATTGATGTTTGATGAAGACTTTCTAGATGTTTGGCTGAGCTAATGGATGACTTTTATACCAGGCCTCACTGATATGGGTATAGTACACTTGAATCATGTATTCTGTATTCAATGGAAATCCTTCATCATCTAACAGGCATTAGTTCCTTGTTGTATCTAGTTTCTAAATTTCGGAAGATTTGTCTAAACTAGTTTAAATCAAAATAATAAGTCATGTGATCAGAGTTCTGAGTCTGCAGTCCAGGATGTTGTTCTTTCCTAATTAGCATTCAAAGCATGTAAAAACTTGCCTTTCTGGGCTACAGATGCTGTACGAAGATTAGGTCCGGCTTTTTTCGTTGTCTGTTGAAGTAGTTACATCTGGTCCTTGCTAAAGGGTTGTGTTTCAGGCGTAGCATTTATCTTTTTTGTCTCAAGTATATTTCAAGAGGCTGTATTGCCATGATTCTCCCTTCCACTAGACGATTTTGCATTGGCTGGTTTGCCATGAATGAACCATCATGTATCTTTTGTGTGGCCTGTCTTCCAGCAGTGTTCACACAAGATTGATTTTTCTTTTGTTGGGAGTGTGGCTGATTGAGCTGATGTCCCTTAGCTACCACGGCTGAGCTCTCTGAGTAGAGTTTCCTAACCTGATTTTCTTCCTACTTTCTCCCTTTTTACCTTAAAATAGACTTCTTGAACCTTTGGTAGTGGCTTTGTTCTAAGAATGCCCAATGCACTTCATCAAGGTTCTTATTAAGTCCAAGCAAGAACTTGTAGATCTTGTCTTTCGAAACAATATTTTTGTATTGCTTGCTGTCTTTAGGGAACTTCTGCTCGATTTCTTTGTAAATGTCAAGCTGCTCAATATCGAGTAACGTTGAAATATTTGGTGATAGTGGAGTCACCTTGTTGCAGGTCATGAAGCATGCTCTTGATTTCAAAGAAAGGGGAGGTGTTATCTACATTTGATTAAGTCTCCTTTACTGTGTCCCAGATCTCTTTAGCAGTGTTGTAATACATGAAGTTTTCTCCAATCTTGTTGGTCATTGAGTTCAACAGTCATAACATCACCAGGTTGTTCTCGAGTCTCCATCTGTGGTGGTTGAAATAATCTTTCTCCAGTTGTTTGGAATCACCATATGTAATATTCCTTTTCCTTTCCTTGGAGAAATATCCAAACTGATCTGGGCCATTGAATGAAGTTCTGGCCAATGATAGCAAGGAATGGACCTTCATTCGAGTTGGTTATGGCAGTTCTACCAATCTCTGATTGGGATATCATCTCCAAGGTGCTGCTCTCCTGGTCGTTTGCCATTCATGAATAGGGCTACGATGGTCGTTGCTGAAGCAATGATGGAGGTGGTCAAATTGCATGGTTTGATACCATGAAGAAAATATTGTATTGATCCTCATTCTCTTGATTACAAGATGGCACTATAAATAGGGCAAAGGGAAAATCCCGATGCACAAGACTCCCCGACTTTGCAACGGTCAGGGTGTGGATCGACTATACGCAGCCTTACGACCTTACCCTTGTATTTTTGGCAAAGAGGCTATTTCCTAGACTCAATCCTGTGACTTTTCAGTCATGAAGGAACAATAGCGGACTAGCGGTATAAATTGGGAATTAGGAAAAAACTGTATACTAATCTCAGCCTAAAACATAGGGGAGGTAATAGGAGCTAATAAGCACACCTAGCTGTACACAAAAAAAAAAAAGATTTTGTCTGCCACTGTTCCTAAAAATCAGGAGCTGATCACCAGCAATCCCCAATTTGATCTAGATTATATTAATAATACATCCCACTTTTAAGCATAAAATAAAAAAATCATGGCTATTTAGTTGCAACAAACTCAAAAGACTAAATAAAAAATTTAAGGCAGCCTCAGAAATCAACACTTCAGATGAAGCTAAAGATGAGGCTTAATCAGTATATCCCCTCAAGACGAAGATGTTGCATCGGTGTAAAGCTTCAAGAAATAGGACAAAAAGTGTCAAGTCAAAAGTGTTGACAAGCAACACTAAGGTATTAGTAAAACGCAAAAAGCAAAAATGTGGATTCCCTAACAAAGATTAAACTTAGTGAATGTTAAGGAACAATATAATATAAAATAATATAAGTGTCTTCACCTAACAACTTAAGCTGTTGGGTTAAAATTGTTTTTTATATGGTAACAGAGCCTGTGACCAAGTGGTCACGAGTTTGATTCTCACTGCCTCCGTCTTCTAATAAAAAATTTCAGTACACACGCTTCAATCCTAAAACGATTCTTGGTGTAATGGGCGTGTGCTTTATCCATGTTTCAATTCCTAGAAGAGTTGTTGATATGGCGGGCTTGTGTAAGTTGTCCATGGGTCAAAAGTAAGGTCAGATTAGTACATAGCCCGAGTCCAAATTAATGCCAAGTTATTCTTGGCCTATTTTAAAGAGAATGATAACTCTGCTATAAATGGAGATTGGGCTTGTAAGCCCATTCATCTATCTGAATCAAGTGGCCCAAAAACAACTTGCATTGAAGACAGGGTTAAAGGGCGACACAAGGAGGATGACCTCGTTCATCACCAACATGAGTTTGTCGCTAGGAGCTTCAATGACAACGGAAGCAAGAATGGATGGGAGTTTGGAAAAATGGTGGGTTGTAGTTGCGTCCAGATTCATGTTGTTCAACTTTCATCTGGTTCATAGATAAACACCACACTACTCTCTCCTGCAAAAGGTAATTCGATCGAAGGACATCAAGATGAAATTGTTCCCCAATTTTTTGCATTTACTGACTTCGATTTTTCCATTGGGCAAAACTTGACGGAGAAACACAAACCTCTTGAGGCTGATTCAAATGATTTCGAGGGGGTCACCACAAATCTGAACAGCGCCGCTGACATGCTTCTCTTTCATCCTCGCAGAGCACCAGGCAGCGACTGCCATAAGCAACAACATTCAGAACCATTGCTGGAATTTCAGAATCCCAGCTTTCATTAGTATAAACGAGACTCCATCCAATGTTGTGATGAGGGCAGCACGTTCCAAGTTATAAGAGATTGGGGTTACTGTGATTTAATGATGACTATTACGAATCAAGACAACCCAGCCAAGACAGTGTGGGAAAAATCTTGTATCTGCACAAAGACATGGAAACATTCTTTTTTGCAATTGATAAAGTTGCCTGATATGCTAGATACAAATACAAGGTATATTGTCCATGGAACTGTTGTTTTGGTATGTGAAATATTAAATTGCGGGCCTTCGGATGAGTTTTCAAAATTAAAGCGTTGAATTTTATATTCATGGAGAAATTGATTATTATGTTCATGGAAAAATAGTGGTGCTATGCAGCAAGAAGTATACCAGTGGGTATATGAAACAAACTATGACAACTTCTTGCCAATAGCGAATATCCTACTAAAAGCTGGTCAGACAAAGGAAGTTGAAGAAAGACTATGTGATCCTAATGGATGTTCTTACTCTTCAATCAATTGGTCTTTATATTTCTAACGGTGGGACCCCGGAGGAGAGATTTTTCATTGGTGACCTCACCTTGAGGACAAGGTGAATGATTTTTAGGGGGAGTATTGTTACGACCCCTAACATTAAGGCGTTCAGTCGGTATGAGGTTAGTTATAGGAATAATAACATGTTAGTTATGGGAATAATATTCCCTTTTTTTGTTATGAATGTGTTTTGTGAGCTGAGGCTAAAGTTATAATATAGAGGGTAAGGAATAGTTGCAAAGGGGGCATGTGGGATATCTTGGGACTTGAGCATTGGGAGAGTCCAGGCGCTTTATAATTCTCCTGGGTTTAGGATGGAACCAAAAAAATAACACTGAAATTATAGAGATAATGAAGGCATTGCCTCTTTTTACATACACTAATATGCAAAAAATAAACCCCAAGAAACCTCAACTCCCCCTCAAAGTCAACATACCTAGGCTTTAAGAGTTCCCTGGAGGCCCCAAATTCCCCACTAAACCAATACACAATTCATGCCTCCTCACTACAGACACTCCCCTCCCTTTTATCCTATCTACTAAGAACCTTCTAGAATATTTCCCTAACTAACTAACTAATTCACTAATTCCTTCCCTTTTTAAGCCTATAGGCCCATCAATATTCCCTTTCCAAAACTCACATTGTCCTGAAGGTGAAGAAAGAGGATAGGTGGTGTGATAGAACTTCCACTGGGATCCCATTGTTTGAAGCATTTTGACCGAAGCTCTTGACTGCTTTCAATTCTGGCAATGATAGTATCACATATCCGCAGTTCGTTGCGTATGTCGACCCACCTTGTACAAATCCATGTCTCTCATTCCTTCCATTTCAGTTCAGTTCCCCTCCCCAATTCGTTCCTTTTCTTGGATTAAGGCCACAGCTTTCTGATAGGAGTTTGGTCCATTAGAAGTCAAGCCCACCTCATTGTCATTATTTCCTCCTATTGTGAATTTCCCCTTAATCAGTTATGATCCCTTTTGATAGGAGTTGGGCCCATTATAAGTCAAGTCCACCTCAGTGTCATTATTTCCTCCTATTGTTCCTGATTGTATCATGGGTCAGGTTATTAATGCTGGTTGTGAATGACCCACTCCAATTGAATTAAGCCCACTTGTTCCACGGCCCATAATCCCACTCACCCATCCTAACACTGTCTCCCTCTCCTTCGTTGATACCTCCTGAATCATCTTTTACTTGTGCTTGCTGCTACTAGGTTCGTCAATGTCTTCTTCTTTCTCTCCTTCTTCGTATCCTTGTGGCTGTTTTTCTTCTTGTTCTTGTTCTTTTGTTTTTTTCCGCCTCTTTTTTTGCAACTGCTTCTTCCTCTGGTCTTTCTTCTTCTGTAACCTCTGTTCTTTCTTCTATTCTTTGTTGGTGTGTACGACTCCATTCAGCCACAACATGAAGACGGATCTGCGATCTGAGTTTCTCTTTCAAAACCATTAGCTCTACTCTTTGGTTGTTGGAAACATTCCCTCCTCTATTTCTCTCATTACCGTCATTATTCCCCGCTCTTCTCCTCGCATCAACACCTGCTTCATGATTATCAAGCCTCGTTAATGCTTCCAGAACCGTCTCACAAAGTTGACGAAAGCTCTCTTCCTTTTCACCCATTCGCTCTTCCAAACGATCAAAGCTCTTCTCCACATTAGTCAATCTGTGTTCCATTTTTTCCCCCTTTTTTCCTTTTTTAAGATCTGGACCAAAGAGCACTCCTAGGATTGTAGTGCTTTGATACCAAATTGATGGAACCAGAAAAATAACACTGAAATTATAGAAATGGAGACATTGCCTCTTTTATATACACTAATATAGAAAATAAACCTCAAGAAATCTTAACTCCCCCTCAAAGCCAACATACCTAGGCTTTAAGAGTTTCCTAGAGATCCCCAAATTTCCCAATAAACCAATACACAATTCATGCCTCCTCGCTACACACACTCCCCTCCCTTTTATCGTAATAACTAGGAACCTTTTAGAATATTTCCCTAACTAACTAACTAATTCACTCATTCCTTCCCTTTTTCAGCCCATAGGCCCATCAGTTTATCTTTTCTTTTTTGCACTTTTGCTATTTCTCTTTGTAATCTGCCATTGCTGCAAGCTTGGCTGTTACCTTTCATTTTTCAATAAATATTAGTAGTTTCCTTTTTTTACTACTACTTTCCATTTCTGTTATTCAGGTCATATAACTTACATGTCCTTGATGTTCATTGTTAGAAATTCAGATAATAAAATATTGGATATCGCTTCAAAATATGCTCTACACTGCAATCGTCTTATTCTGTTATCTTTCTAGCATAGCATAGAGAATTGGCTTCATTGAAATTTATTTCCTACTTTATTTCTGATACATCATAGATGACAATTACTTAAATTCCAAGCCTCTATCAATAGGACTCAGGACAGCAGTCAGAGATGGAGATCACTTGTTTAAGGAGTCCAGCTACCATTGCAACCTTGTTTTAGGAGGGCAGTTGTTTTATGTGAAGTATTAGTGATACGAGAGCTTAAGAAAATTGTAGGATAGTAATGTCCTTTTGTTTTGGAGCTAGCATTTGCTAGCTAGGGATGAGGGATTTTGACCTGGTGGACCTTTGATGGAAATCCAGGTTACCATAGAACGATCCTCTATGGTCAAAGTGGACTCCAAAGAGTCAACGATGCTGTTATCACGCCCTGATCCAACAGCTGTGGTTCATCAATCAGGCTTAGGTTCCTGTCTCCTTTGAACTCTAGTACACAGGTACTAGCCCGCATAATATATCCTGTTCAAATAAGGTCATCTAGAATAGTAATGTCTAAAGTACAAAATTCTGAATTGCACTTCATTAGTTATATTACATTGATGAGAGAAATAATGGAGAGTTTGGTAACTTAAAATCAATTCTTGCTCTCTGAGAAGTAATGTTAATCTTGGATTACCATAATCTTAGGTGAAATTATATGATGGTGATTCTGGTATTTTATTTCTCTTCATTTCTTCTCACATCTGTAAATATGATATGTGTGGCATGTAATGGTTTGTACTAAATTTTCAAGTAATATAAATTTCACGTTTCTTCACTGTCAAAACTATTGACTTGATGTTACTCTGAACCCCAGGTTTTCCTTAATGGGATTGATGACAATCTACTTTGGACCTCCTAGACCCGGCAAGCAAAGTTGAGATGTCAAGTGTTTGAGGTAGAAATGCCCTTTTTGTGGGGTCTTTTCGGGAATTAAACCAACAAACTTCAGAGGAAGTTTAAGGTCATTAGGAGTTTCTCATTTCTTTATGTGGCTTTTCATTTGGCTGTACTGAAGATGCTTGCGAAGACTGGATACCGGTGTATTTAGACAATTTGATGTTATGAACATTAAACATTAAAGATAGATTAGTTTAGAAATATGAGGAAAGCGATACAATTAAGCGGTAAGTGGGATATGTCCGTAGTTTTGTTATAAAATGCATGTAAAGTGCATCGTTCCTGCTGTTAAAAAAAGAACCTGCAAAAATCAGAAAATATATTCATACGGTAACAAGTTGGTCGCTATTAACTTAAAGCCACATGTTGTATGTCAAATATACTTCTATCGACGGTGAAATGCAAAAACAACCTAATGAAAAATTATTCGAGTAATCCTAAAATGCCAATATTTTTTAATTATTTTTATTGTGATATATGATTTGTTTCTTTGGTGGGTAGGATATATGTTCCAAAAATAGTTGCATGATTTTTTTTGGTTATACCGAGTTTAATTATTATTTTTGAAGCGTGTCAACCTTTCTGGTATTTTCATAAATTTTAATTCTTTTGAAATGACTATATATATATATATATATATATATATATATATGGTCAGGATTATTTTACACTAGTGTAAGTTATACTCTCAATATTATCTGTTGATTCCATTTATATCTAACAACTCAAATTTTTTAGTAATGTGAGTCATTAGATACAAGTGGATCAATGGTCAAGATTGAATGTAAGACTTCTAACTCTTACACCGGTGTAAGAATATCCTGTCCTATATATATATATATATATATATATATATATATATATATATATATAGGATCCTTTACCAGTGTCAAATTTAAAGTTTGACATCTCATCTGATAGCCATTAGATCAAAAAAGATCAATGGTGTCACATGCTTACAAATCAGAGTCGTTGATTTTTTTTGATCTAATGGCTATCAGATGAGATGTCAAATTTCAAATTTGACACTGGTGTCAAAGAATCCTACTTCTCTATATATATATATATATATATCAAAATTATTTTACATTATTATAAATTATATTTTTAATATGTTCGGTTTAAAATTTTTTAAACTTGTTTAGTAATTTTAGTTTGACAAAATGTAAGTAAATGATATACATTTATGGAAAACAATTAGAATTTGATTTTTGAGGTAGAATCATAAATGATGAAAGAAAAATCAAATGTTGGTGTAAATAGATTAAAATAGGCGTACTAGTTAGAAAACAAAGATATGTATGTAATTTTTTAAACATATTCTTTGTTATTGTTGGTTGATAAGGAATCGATAAGAATTTCTTTAAGTCAAATCACTCTTACATGATTAATAACTTGAAAGTCACTCTGGTAAAAAGAAAACCCTAGACTCTGTTAGGGTTTGGCGGCGGCCACATGCAACATGGGAGAGGGCTAGCCTACGACGAACAAGGGCGGTGCAAGACAAAGAGATAGATAAGAGGAAGACAGATGTGATGCTGTATTGCACTGGAGCCTGTATTGGTCCTGGTTGATTTCCACTGGAGCCTGTATTGCGTCTGGGATTTGCACCGCAAGTGGTTGTAAACCCTGCACATATGGTGTATTCTGATTCACCGCTGGGGTTGATGCTGAATCAAAATGTTCATCACTAATATGAACAACATTATGATCATCCATACGCAGATTCTCCAGAGCGTATGGACCTGGACCTGACGGATCTTCCTGAATTACAAGGATTTATCGCGGCTCAACATTCGGCGGTGGTGGCTGTCGAGGACCACTTCTAGCTGTGCGTGTCATGGTTTTCGTGGGATTTGAAATTTTTTGTTCCCCACAAATAGAGCCAATGTTCTGTCTATGCGACATAGATGTCTAGTCTAGGACTAGTGGATCAATATGGGATTCTGTGCTCTCTTTAGGTATCTATGGATTTAGATACCTTGGGGGTAGTGAATCACCGCACACAATTATGAGGTTACAACCAAAGGGGGTGGTGTGTGTGCACAATGATTGCATTATTATAAAAGAGAGAGATTAGTCCATACATGTAGTTGTCATCTCCTATTTATAGAGTTTACCTTTAGGATTTGACTAATTTGGACCTCGTACTAAATAGGCCAACCGACTCCTTGCTTAGCTGTCCAATGGTTATTATTGATGGGCCATCTGAACATATGAGCCTTACACAGGTCCATAACAACTAAAAAGACTTCGTTTTATTTGTAAATCCTTTAGAGTCCTCAACGATCGATGAAGGGCATTTTTTGTAATGTTTTTATAAAGAATTGAAGATCGAGGAATATCCTTTGGAGCTCTTAATATCTTTTCTCTCTCCCTACCATTATATTCTTATCTTTTGTTTAATGTAGGAGTTGATGGAACCTGATTAACCTTTGTCATAGTTTGATTTTCTTAGTACCTATTTGGGAGGTCTTTTGTTTAGCTTCTCTTCTCTTTATAAGTAGAAGTTAGGCCAAACAGATTTCTACAAAAGCTCTTATAATAAAGAGCTTTTTTTAAACGAAGAAAATAGCCAAAAGCTAAAAGCTCATAGGAGGAGCTATTTTTTTAGTTGTATCAGATTTTTTTTGAAATGTATGCTTTTTTTGAGTAACTTATTTTGAAATATGTGCGCTTTTTTATTCAAATGAACAACTTTTAAGCTAAATTTTTTATATAATCATCAAATAACTTATACCTTTATTTTTAAAGTTCTTTTTTTCAATTTTAGCTTAAAAGTAGCTTTTATTGAAATTCACACACACATACACAAATACACCGTACACACACACACACACACACATATGGGTTGAACATTTCTGCAGCTACTTTAGATAAGGTTGTCTACAACTATCCTTTTTTAACTAAGTCTGACCAGTAAGACATAAAAATTGCATTTTCTCTCTCCGCCATGTTAGCCGACAATGTCTGAGGAGAGAAAAAAAAGAACAGCTTTATTGTTATAACTATATCTTATTGGTCAGACTTAGTTTAAAAAGGGTAGCTGTAGATAATATTATTTAAAGTGGCCGTAACAATACTTATATATATATATATATATATATATATAAGGATAAGTTATTCTACCTACCATTTTTCTGCCTACCTTTGCCTACCACTCTAAAATACCATTAGATCAGAATCTCAAGAGAAGAGAGAAAGATAAAGATTAGTTAAGATTATGATCCAACAGTATTTTAGAGTGGTAGGCAGAAAAAATGATAGGTAAAATAACTTATCTCATATATATATATATATATATATATAGAGTTTATTTTTCTCATATAGTAAGAGAAAACAAACCCTTTCTATAGACACCATAAAAAGGTGTGCTACTTTTTTTTTTATTTTTTAAATAGGTGGGTCCCATATTTATTGTATCCATGAGATTAGAAATCTCATAATATATATATATATATATATATATATATATATATATATATATATATATATATCAACATCAACATCAACATCAACAACACCTTTATCCCAAATTAATTGGGGTCAGTGGTAGATGAACCCACATGAAAGATACAAAACGGTTGAAAAAAAGTTAAAAATAAAAAATAAAAAAAAATAAAAAATAAAAAAGTAAAAAAGTAAAAAAGCCAAAAATAAATAAATAAAAATAAACAAATAAAATAAAAATATAAATAAGATAAATAAAATAACAATATATGTATATATAAATAAATAAAAGTAAAAAAGAAAGGGACAAGAAGAAGTGGGGGAAATGAAGGGGAAAAGGACTAAAAAGGGACCATCTGGAACATAGGAATAACAGCGGGTCTAACCCTCCACCATACTTATAGCTTTTCTCCATTCCGTTCTAAGAATACTGTCCGCCAATCTATATCCCACTCCATTAAATCTTGTTTTACTACTTTCCCCCAAGTAAGCTTCGGCCTACCTCTGCCTCTTTTTGTGTTGAGCTCTTGGTAACAAACTTCTGTTCTTACAGGAGCATCCATGGGTCTTCTCATCACGTGCCCAAACCACCTCAATCTATGTTCTCTCATCTTCTCGGCTACCGGTACTACTCTGACCTTTCGTCAAATATCTTCATTTCTTATCTTATCCATCCTTGTGTAACCACACATCCACCTTAACATCCTCATCTCTGCTACTCCCATCTTATGCTCATGTTGCCTATGTGCTGGCCAGCATTCTGCTCCATATAGCATTGCCGGTCTTACTGCCGTTTTATAGAATCTTCCTTTTAACTTCAGGGGGATTTTGCGGTCACACAAAAATGCAGATGCACTGCGCCATTTCATCCACCCTGCTCTGATTCTGTGATTTACATCCTCATCAATCTCTCCACCGTCTTGTAAAATGGAGCCCAAGTATTTAAAAGCATCTTTTTTGGGTACCTCTTGACCATTTAGATGCACAGGTTCTTGGTCCTCATCTCGTACCAGAGAAAACTCACACTTCAGATACTCAGTTTTGCTTCGACTTAATGTAAATCCTCTGGATTCCAATATGCTTCTCCACAATTCAAGTTTTCTATTAACACCCTCCTTGCTCTCATCAATAAGCACAATATCGTCTGCAAAAAGTATACACCATGGCACTTCCTCTTGAATATCTTTTGTTAGTTCATCCATAACTAAGGCAAAGAGGTAAGGACTTAGAGCCGACCCTTGGTGTACACCTACCGTGATAGGAAAATAACTTGATGATCCGTTACAAGCTTTTACACATGTAGTAGCCCCATCATACATATCCTTGATTGCCTTTACATACTTTAATGGAACCTTTTTCTTCTCCAGGACCCACCATAAAACTTTCCTTGGAACCCTATCGTATGCTTTCTCAAGGTCTATGAACACCATATGCAAGTCCTTTTTCTTTTCTCGGTATCTTTCCATTAGTTGTCGCATCAAGAAAATTGCTTCCATGGTACATCTTCCTGGCATAAATCCAAATTGATTTACAGAAACCTTGGTATCTCTCCTCAAGCGATGTTCAATAACCCTCTCCCACAACTTCATAGTATGGCTCATTAGCTTAATGCCTCTATAGTTTGAACAATTCTATATATCTCCCTTGTTTTTGTAGATAGGCACAATCATACTTTTCCTCCATACATCAGGCATCTTATTCATCTGGAGAATCTTATTAAAAAGATTGGTCAACCATTTTATTGCCACATCCCCCAGGCCTCTCCACACTTCAATAGGGACACCATCAGGCCCTAAGGCTTTATTAGTCTTCATCCTCTTCAAAGCCTCATTAACTTCATGTGTATTAATTCTGCGTACAAATCTTCTATTCATATCATCACACGCGTCCT